AACCTTCAAAATTAATATGCTCTCCTAGAGTGGTGGAGCGGAGAATCATCCAAAGATTTCTAAACCACATAAAATGTCAAAGCGTTTCTTATTAGAATTTTAAGTCTAAAAAAATTCATGCATAAGTTTGTACTCGACATGTGTTCTCGCCGCCACAATGGAAACAATAATACATACCAATAAAAGTGTACTCATAGATCGGCTTTTAATGATTTTAACGTTGAAAACCACACCGAAACCGTCTTGCACCTGTAGCCTAAAATTGGTCTTTTAACAAAACTATATTTGACAGCCCTCCCAACGGTCATCGAGGCTGAAAGGTGTTCATGGATGTCGGGCTTCGATGAACAGCGAGAAGATTCGTAACTCCAAGCAGGGCCTCCAAAAATGAGTAGGAGTCCAGTATTCCATCAGGAAGCTCAGCTAAGAGTGAACCAGTACCAAGACCCACCACCGCTCTGGTATCAGACTAGTCGCATGGTGGCAAATCTCCCTCTGATCCACGAAGGCGGCGGGTGTCTGTGGTGGTTACGACCTGAGGCAGACTTTGGCCTGGTTGACCTCAGAAATCTCGAGAATCACGATGGCCAGCAAACCTTCAAAAAAAAAATGGAAATTATGCTGGGGTCCGCACAACCAGTGAAGATGGGTTATGCAAGTATGTTAGACAGTACAATAAATCAATGCATAAGTACACACATACACGAATATGTGTGGAAAAACTGAAACTGGACAAACAACGAGTCAATAATAACACCACACAACACTAGACCACACATTTTCTCCATGCTGGGCTGAAGAGGAAAAAAAATGTTGTTTTTAAATCTCAATTTCCAAATCCATAACCTGAAGAATCGCCATACAGCTCTATAATTAACCAACTGTAGTAATTTGAAAAAAAAATTGGCAATATTGTAACACCTACTTCATGAAAGGTTCTCAACAACTACTTCAACACAGGTATGATATTTAAAGTCGTATTTTACCGTGATTATTAATAATAACTTGATTCTCATCAGTGGTTTAACATATTAAAAAACATGCGAGCTCCTCAATAAAAACAGCGTGTGGAGGCTTGATGACTTGAAAACCACTTATGTTTTTCAGAGAATTTCTGGAAGGCTTCTTTCCCTTAAGAAATAAATCAGGCCACTACTTTAAACATACACACAGAATTTTGGGAAGTTAGTTTCATCTTAAAAATTCTTAAATCTGTACTTGCTAAAAAAGAGTTAGAGAAAGGCAAAACAAGAGCCTCGGTCGGTGTAGTGGATAGCAAAGTGAGCCCCTGCCAGCGTAATCGTGGGTTCTAAGCTCAGTTGAAGTTTCGAGTTCTGTTCATATCTCAGCATCTTTATAATTATAGTTGCTAAGCTAACAAAGTGGAGAAATATTAGTTGTTCACATGACCGCACTAGCACTTTATATCAAGTAGACACTCAAGGATACAGTAGAGTACTGCTGGAATAAATCTCACATGAGAAATTGGTAACGCTGATAGTGATACTAATTCCGACAATACCGAACCGAGAGAACGACTCACCACCTCTAGAAAGTTACCATTTTATCGTTTCGGAATAATTAAATTTTGACTTTATTGGACAAAGTAAGCAACCTTTAGAATTATTATTTAAACTAATAAGTTCAATATGAGTTTAACGATGAGTGGTCGAGAGATGAAATTTCAGTTTCAGCGCATCGCGAGCCACTTCTATGGCCACCTATTCGTTTACTTATCCTCGTTCATTGGATGCGCATTGAATGAAGACTCCAAAAGCAATAGCTGTCAAGCACACAACTAAGGAGTGGAATACCAAATCATTAGCAGAATACAAAAAACATTCGATCAACGACGGGCTGCACTATACTCGATTCGTCTCGATGCAACAGCTACGTATACCAACATCGCAAGAAGAAATAACTGTTCTTGACAATCGACTCGAATCATCACGACTCTGACAGAGCGAAACCGTTGAAACGTTAGTCACAAAAAAAGATATATAGTCATCTCCTGTAAGCTTCTCAATAAAGCAGAACACAAAAAACATTGTTGAAAAGTGCAACCATAACCTTTGTGATATGATTCAGGACGTTGAATAATTAAACCAGAAAATACAGTCAATTGGCGCTATTGCAAATGCTGAGTAGAAAGGAGAAAAAACCAATAAAGTGTTTAATTTCAACGAATGAACAGCTTTAACAGCCTGAATTGTAGATGATCAAGAAGGAAAACACTGCTCGACTTCTACGGACTGAAGACGAGGTAGCACGAAAACCCTAACACAGGGCCAAAGAACTTCACTCAGAACAAAAGCAAAAGAAAGGGTTCTCTGTTAAAAGCTAGAATGATAAAGCTCTCGGGGTTGATCAATTCCTGCAGGACACGCCATACGTTCGACTTCATTAAGCATCGTTAGAGGTGATTGAATGCATATATGGCCTTTTAAAATAACTCGCGGAAGCCTAATGATGTATCAAGCCAGTGCTACTATCCTCCCAGACAACTATGGTACCAATTTGCCGACCCCGGAGGGAAGGTAGGCTTGGTGAGCGACGGGAACGGGAATCGATCCCACGTGTGTAATGCAGTGCGCCTCCTACGACAGCGCCACACACACGCTCTTAATATAGTAAATTTTCTCTGCAGTTAACAATTGCAAAATTACTTTTGGGTTCCAACCACTGATGAGTTGGAGTACATCCCCAACTAAGAATAACGATATGAAGATTTGAGTGTGAAAACATAAAATTACTAGAGCATTTGGTTAAATCACTACTTAGATAATATTCGAACCTCAGCGGTTTGAACTGTTATAAAGAATCCTATCTAAAAACTACGGTGAGATCTAACTGAATACGGAGACTTTAGAAAATACAATGGTGAATTAAGCATAGAAAAAGACCAACTCGGCAAATGCAAAGCAGTAACCTACAAAAATTCTAAGGACATTCGATGTCAATGGAAGTCGGCTTTTAAAACTTCGCACGTTCCTCTTTCATTACCTATGTCAACATTTAAAACTAGGACGGTTATAAGATTGTTAGCTCTGTTTGCAGTTTTTATCGTGAGAGAGGCGGTATCTTCAAGCCATAACAAAATCCAGAACAAAACCATCCACAGAAACGAATTGAACGAGAACGACAGCTTATTCCCATTTATTCTTATTTTTGAGATGTGATGCAAGATTGGATGTTATGGAAAGGCGAGACGAAATAGAGAGATGAATACATTAATATTGAAAACTTCAAAAATGAAAACGAGTCCGTCAAATTCTGAGGAAATCCTTTGTAAAGCTCGAATGCGGATGGTTCAGAACGAAAACTTAATAAGTAGATAAGAATAAGGAACGAACAGAATGAAAGAAGCTAGGAATTCCAGTCAAAAAAGACATCTAGCAGAACACTGACTGCCACGTAGCGCGGCGGAAGACGATTTCCTGCGCGTCCACGCACCACTACTGTCCCGCATACCCGTTCTCGACTACTCGGCGTCTATGTCATAGTGGTTGGAATTAAAAAAGATGAAAAGACCGATTCAAGGTTGGTGTAGTTGTCGTTGTTTACGCCCTCGCATAGGCTCAACAACATCAGTTCATAAGAGTATATAAATAAATGTATCGATTATTTATGCCGAAGTCTATAGAGTAGGTTTTTTGTGCGAAGAAAGCGATGGTGACATTCCACATCACTACAAGGGTATTGTCTGCAACGATAAAACGCTGGTAGGTCCTATGATTCTGAACCACAGAAAAACAAAATCTTTCTTGTAATCGGCTATAAACTGTTCAACAAGCTACCTATACCAATTATCGAAGTTATTCAGTTCCTGTCAAACCTCAATACAACAAATTTGTTCAGATCGTTTAGCTTATTAAAGTATTACTTCGCTATGTGCTAAGTACAATGCTTTATCGCTTCTTCTCAGACATTACGAAAAGATAACTGTGCATCTCCATTGAATTTTTCGCTCAGACATGGAAACAGCATGAAAATCAGTCATTGATCGATGGGTAAACGATGTCGGTGAACCGTCACGTCATGCAAGCTTATAGATGGCATCTTAAGCAGTTAAAAGCCTACAATTAATAGTAAGTTCAATACATAAATCATTACAATAACATCTGTGTACGCTTCAACTGGTCATTTCACAGACAAAACGGCTGTGGGATGGTTAACAAAAACAAAACGACACCTGATCTTCGATGGATGCCGTGCGATAAGACATCCCTCCACTGAGGCACAAAGTATGCATTCAAATCTGTGCGCAGTTCTACGTTATGCAACTATACCTAGCATATATATATATACCTACCTTCCAAATGTTAGTTAAAGAAAGAGTTGGCAGTATGTATCCTGATGAGGAACGGTATACAACCATTTCAAACAAAAGCAACAAAACAACAAGAATGCGTAATTTGCTCTTTATTATGGTCGTAATAGAAAACTCACTAAATTTTATAAGTTTATATATATATATATACGTATACACATTTATATACGCATATACAGATATATACATATATATAATATTGAAACGGTTTGAAAGACACTAAAATTCGACCAACCTATAGATCACTTTTTAGCTCGCTTCTTCTGAACTCCTTCCTCATCCAAAAAACAGCTCCACGGGAACGAGAAGGCAGCACTGTAGCATAAGGACATTTCAAGAACCTTTAGAAACTACATAAAAACAAATGAAAAAGTATTGTGAGGACGACTTCATCCATCGAAACCTGAAAATCAAGAAAGAAATGGAAAGTGTGGAAACTGTTTATGAACACAGAGCCTGTCTTCCAATAACAAAATGGAAATGAGAGCATGGAGAACAGAATGCATTGGAAACAACATTGCTCATGACTCCTATTGATTCTTTCCACAAAACTGTCCAGCAAATGAAGCGTCATTGGAATTCTAAGCTAACATATAATAACATAATAAGCAGATGTTTACAACAGTAACAATATCATACAACATAACTTATACAACATAACAAGGAGAAATCAATCTTTCCACAACTTCAACAATGTGTCTTCTGAGATAGTCGCTATCAAATTCTGATTCGGATGATGTGCGAGGCCAAGTACGGCTTTTTCGCTGACCTGAACATTCGCCCTGTATATATGTATACACACATATATATATATATATGTACACATATATATATGCATGTACATACATACACATAGAAAACCTTCCTCCCAATGGTTTGTGGCTGGGAGTCGGGCTGCTATGTACAGCAGGGGATTCGTCCCTTCGGCAGGGTCTCCCAAGTTGAGGAGTCCGTTTCCATTAGGAAGCCCAGCTAAGAGTAAACCAACACCAGGATCCACTACCGTCTTGGTATCAAGCTAGTCGCATAGTGGCAAATCTCCCTCTAACCTACAAGGACAGTGACTGCTTTAGTGGTGACGACCAGGGGGCAAATTTTGGCGAGGCCGACTTCGGGACTCCAGTGCAACACGACGCTTAAACCAGCAAAACTAGGAAAAATAGAGAACGTGCTGAAGCCCACATAACCGGTAAGGAAAGGCCGTCCAAGTATCCAAGTAATTATAGAAAACCTGAAGTGATCATGGTGACAACCAGTACCTACAGCACACATCTCTAAAATAGTTCATCGAAATTTCTCGTCAAAATGAGCTTAGCCAAAAACATGGATTCCCTTTAATAACTAAGCACATGGACTGGACGTCTCGAAGATTATTCGAAGGATATGAATATGATAGGATAGCCACTGTTACTAAACATCGCACCGAACATGTGGTAACACAATAACTAGCCACGGCGAGGGTGAGATCAAGGGCTTTTCTGTTGATTCACAGAGTATTTACAAACAGAATCGTACCATCTACAACATGAACTATGGCGAGTTCAACGTCCTAAAAAACATTTGAAGAACTTCACAATGGAACCCAAAGAAGTGAATCAGCGGTCGCAAAAACGGTGCCACAGCAACCAAGACAGTATCACCTGTAATCCCGTCAATCGTCTAGTGACTCGAGCTGGCGCCAGTAAATCTTCCACTTCCCTTGTCGCGTGCAAGAGTAACCCAGTGGGTTCTCCTCGCTCTAAGGACTCGTCGAGCATCATATCTTTCTTCAAGGCTCTTCGTGAAGCACTCTGACCATCGGGTCGGTGGTCTTCCTTCAGTACGTTTGACGTCCCGAGGAATCCAGTCACTAACGGCTCTTGTCCATCAGTCGTCATTTACGCATTACGTGTCCGGCCCCCCTTATCTTCGACTGTTTAGCATAAAGAACGCCATCTTTGATTTTTGATCGTTGACGCAGATCAGAGCTTCGGATCCCATCCCTTACTTGTGTGGAACGGGATACTCCTAGCATCGTCCTATCGACTGCGCGTTCAATAACGCTGAGTAACTTTTCATACTGCTTACTTATTTACTATGATATATGAAGACTATGATTACTATGATGTGGTCTATTTCGTTTTGGTACTCTCCACTGGAAGACTCTCACGTCCAGCGCAGAGGATGGGGCTTCTGGAATTGCGAGTTACCATGGATTGTCTTGGTCGCCATGATAAACTCAGATAGCCGCTCACCCTGTTCGTTCCATTCTAATCCATGGGTCCCAAGCAATGTGGCGTTCCTCAGACGTTCTTCTTGGTCCAATCGTGGCGTTGAAATCTCCAATGATGACCTTGAAGAATGTGTGATTTTCTCTGTAGAACTTCTTATAGAACGCTTCGACTTCTTCTTCGTCATAGTTTGATGTCGGGGTGTAAACGACGAAGATTGTTAAAGCCGGAATTGATCCACGTCTTCTTAATCGTAAACGTCTGATTCGGGTTGTAAGTTGTTCGAATGAATCGATGTTCATGGACAAACTTGTGTTGATGAGAACACCGCCACCGACTCCTCTACTGTCACATGTTCCGATGAACAGTTCTTCTCCGGTGTCTTAAACGGCGTTGAATGGGTGGCGTCGTCTCGTCGCGACCTGGCCGGCTCGATATTCTTTGTATGAGGGAGATCCGTGGAACCAAGGCAGTAAGGTAGCAAATATCCCTCTGATCCACAACGGCCAGAGACCGCCAGTGGTAACGATCTGGACAACGCTTCAGCTTAGTTAACCTCGAAACTCCAGAGATCACTAATGACTGAACCACCAACGAACTAATCTTAGTATCTCGCACATCGAATGCCTCTGTCTACGACATCGGACGTTGAGATAAGTGGTGAAATGTGACCAAATCTTCGTTTCTCCGACGACGTTGCCATCTTTTAAAGAAGTACCAGTGAATCATAGACGATGCCCAATGAACTCAACAATGTGGTGAAAAGGGATTGAACTGTGCATAAGTAGGAAGAAAACCCAATTCATGAAAGCCTAAACCCATGTTGCGAAGGCGAACAGGTCGAACTCGACGATTGATGGATTACAGAGACCACCTCACATGTTCACTTTGGACGTTCAATGAACATGAAAAAGAATGAGGAAGGAATTAAACACAAGAAGAAGAACAGCATACGACGCATTAGGGCCTCTCAAAGAAGCCATCAACCGATTAGCGGACTCAAAACTCCGTGCTCGCCTTTTTTATTCAACAGTCCTCCTAGTGCTTTGTTATCCACCAGAGACATGGACTGATACTTCAAGCACGTTAGGAATGCTGAGCACTACTCGCAAAACGCTTGAACGATGTTTTCTGGAATATAACCGGCACGTACAATATCACGTCGAAATGTGCAGTTCAGATAAACGAAATTTGCATCAGTTTCGAGATCCAGGAGAACACACATCGATAACAAAGCAGATGAGTTGGTCACATAATAAGAATAATAGATTACAGAGGAACGAAAAAACTGTGGAATGGACTGCAAGAAAACGCAACTGTCTCCTTGGAAGACGACCACCCCAAACGGTGTGATCTGGGCGTCGAGGCTAATTTCAACCATTTGCGTTAACAAGAGGAAATGATTTCTAGATCAGAAAATGTGCCGCACCAACGCCGCCATGCTTAAGGTAGACTACTACGATGAACGATAATTGAGCGAGAAAGAACGAACGAAAGATATGCAGGATCAGTACTTGTGAGGATAAGCCAATCAGGTATCCAAGTAAAGCTCTCGGCGTTGACCTATCTCCTGAGAGATGTGCCATGCATCCAACTTCACTAAGTATCGCTGGAGGTGATTGAATGTACATCCGGCTTTTACAATGGCTCACCGCGACCGACCGCTGTATCCAGCCAGTGCCGTTGTCCTCCCAGAGAAGCCTGGTAGCAATTTGCCAACCCCGGGGCACGGAGAGCTTGGGGCGCGGGAACCGATTTCATGTGCAAGGCGTCTTTGAACAATGCGCTACACGCGACCTCGGTATCCAAGTAAGAAATTGTAAATCAAATCTCTGCTGAATGTATAACCGAATTTCGATTTAAAAGAAGGATTTGAAAAAGAGAAGCAAGCTTTCTCACTTACCGGAAGAGTATTCTCTAGAACTCCAGTTAGTAACGGGAAACAGTATAGAACACCATCTTCAGCTACAGCATACGTCCACTCTCCACGAGGTGATACAGTGCAAGCAATAAATTCACCTTCAGCCCCACGTTTACCTGACGTCATAGATCGTACGACCTAAATATACCATGTAAAGGAAAGAAAACCAAAATCTAATAACTAAAAGACAACTGGTATACCTGCCCTTGAGGGTTGACTATATAGAGCGTATTTGAACGATTACAGACGATGATTTGATCAGTTTTTGGAATAGGAGTAACTGAGTTGACAGGTACATCTCCGGCAATGCGAAAAGTTGTGGAACATTCTGCCGTTTTAAGATTCCACACACGAAGTGTTCCGTCAGCAGAACAAGATACCTGGAATAACAACGTTGAAAAAAAGCTGTTTCTATCAATTAATAAAACAAATCACCAAAACGGAAGCCCTTCTAAGATAAGAAAACGATTGATGAAATAGGAAAAGTCATCGTTCTATGATAAGACTTCTATAGGACATTATGAAAGACAGTGCTCATTACACACACATATATATATATACATATATATATACTTGTACACAAACCTGTATATGTGTATATCTGATACTTGAAGGGCTCGTCCTCACTGGTTGTGCGGGCCCCAGCATAATCACTATATCTCAGAGATTTTCAGGCTAAGCCATTGTGGTTCCCTGTAGTGCCGAGGTTAGTCTGGCCAAAGTCTGCCCCGGGACGTCACCACCATAGACAGTAACAGTCCTCATGGATCACAAGGAAATTTGCCACCATACGACTTTCATACCAGGACGGTGGTGGATCCTGCTATTGGTTTACTCTTAGCTAGCTTCTCGATGGAAACGCCGGACTCCTTAGCTTGGGAGACCCTGCCGGGAGGACAAATCCACCCGCTGCACATCGCAGTCCGACACCCAAGAACACCCCTTAGCCACGTTGAGGCGGCAAACCGTTAGGAGGATATGTATACGTATGCATTTATATATGCACATATACATATGTATATGTATACATGTATATATATATGTTCACCTATATGTATATACATATTTATACACACTCGTTGACCACTTGGTTGACCAACCACAAGATTCTCAGGTCAAAAACGTAAGAAGTGGAACCATATGCGAATTAGTATGCTCTTCATGGATGCAGCTAAAGGTCAGCTGACCTATCCATGATCTTGCTGAGCTAAACTTAACGGACAGGCTTCCACCCTAACACCTCAAAAGTTAGACCATGAAGTAAATGTTTTGGTTTCCTATAGCAATGAAGAGAGAAATATCAAATCTTGCTGTAGGAAAGACAGAGATGTCATTAGACTTGACAGCGCTCAAATTAATATTCTCTGTGACAACAACCGAGAACCTATTCCGTTCTGGAGAATTTCATAACGAGAACAAGAACAACAGCAACAATAACAACAACAAACACACCGCTTGATTCGTTTCCTCCAGATATCGTACGTCAGTAACGAAAGATGTGTGACCTCGAAGTTCTTTCAAGCATTTTCCACTTTTGAGTCCATGAACTCTGGAAAAATACTCCCAAATACAAAAAAGGTCCTTGCAAATAAAAGAAACACACGAAGCTTTAGTGGATAATGCTGCAAATGTAGCTCACTTTATCATGTGATCATTACTGCATGAGAGTACGTGCGAATTGTCTTTACTGAAGCGCACAGCATTAATCGCAGCTGCATGCGCTTTTTCAAAGCGCCGAAGGCAATCACCTGTCTGTATTCGCCATACCTTAAAGGTTAAGAATACTTAGTTCTACACAGGGCAAACAAAAAACCAGCCTAAGAAATCAGAAAAACTAAAAGAGCCTGGTAAAGAAATGTTCACTTTTATTCGTCCATCCAAACTGCCAGAAACAATCATTTCTGAGTCACGTGAAAACGAAAGAGCTGTTACTCCGTCGTCCATCATCATTAGATTATCTTGAGCCTGTAGACGAGGAAAGAAATAAACAAGAAACTGTACCTAGTTCAAATTAACTATGCTAATAAACCTGGTACTTCAGGTCTTTACGCAGCTTCCCATTCATGAAATTCCACACTTCGATAAAACCATCCTTAGAACCAGAAACAAGAAACTGACCGTCCGGTGAGAAAACCGTTGAGAGCGGATAACTAGCTAGAAGGAGAAGATATAACATTTGACATGGAATACGTGAACTCGAGAATAAATGAAAATTATTTTAGTGCGATTAAACTACTGATGACTTACTTGCTCCAAATTTGATGTGCCTGGCCAGCTGTGTAGGATATCGTTCATCTTCTTGCTCCCTCATAGCAGCCTTACCACGGAATAAATCGATTTGAGTCCCTTGAAATCTCGCAAGAATGGAAACGGGGCAAGAAACCGAAAACGATAAGAAACACGCAAAAATGGCATTAAAGCAGACCTGGAGGTAAAAGACCTTGATGAAGTTGCCATTTTAACGACTGCTGTAACAGAGCCAAAAGTCTTGATGGAGGGACAACATTAACTTCGCTTGCCAACGACTGAAACATTTTAGAAAAATGAATGCAGGAAGGTACACGACCTTGCAACTGTTACATATATGAGCACCATATTTCATTTTTTTCTATAGGCACCAAACGTAAAAAATTCAAAGTGGTAAGAATTTATCCGTCCCTTGAATAATTTTACATCCTAATAGCGAAGAGTTCACTCATTATGTTTGATTTTCTTTAGGAGTGTATCCTAACTTAAGTTGTCATTTTCTGGGTATCTTTTAATTGAGCTGTAGATTAGTGTTTAAAAACAAAGTGGTTATCTTCAGCATAAAAGAAATGTTTTTCAAAGCAATACATGCCACATATCAGGCATATATGCATGTATATATATGTATACATATACACAATGTGTACGTGTGTATACATATACATATGTATGTACATATATATGCATGCACATATATATATATATGAATGCATATAAAATGGAAGTGATATCCTCAAATCTGGAAATGAGCATTTTATTCCTTTACATTCGATATTTCATTTCCCCTCTTTTCATTTTATTCTATTGTAGCTATGAAAAAACCGTCAGACAATCAGACAGAAACATTTAGCTACTTTCCATTCACCTGACTGTTAGGGGAAACATTTCTAAAAATAAAATTTCAACAGGTAAAAGCTATGTTGAGTACGGCGAACTCACATTAGCAATCGCTTGACGGCGCTTCTCCTTGCTGACGTCACCGAAAACTTCGCCTGGGTCAAAATATGGTCGGTTAATGAGATTATCAAGCCTCGCATATCTGGAAGCAAAGTCACCGTTTCTACCAAACTGGATTAACTGCTCATATCTAGACAGCTATGGAAGATTTTACTTCTCCGAACGCTAGCTGTGCTATTGATAAATGGAAGGCTATATTTCATTTTAGTATCAAGACCGGATGAGCATTATTGAATTAAAATACTGGATAATAGCCAAGATTCTGCGACCGTTTCCACCTATTGAGTGAACTGGTTCATTAACTGTACGAGAAGCACCTTTCGGGATCCATCTGTTTCAAAAGATGCATCGGATCCGTTTGTCGAGCAATGAGACGAGCAGTAGCCAACTCACGAAGCTCAACTAGCTCAATAACCATCTAGAAATAAAGTAAATCACAAGGTTTGAGGAACATCGAACTAACCTTGCACTTTCGCAGAACAAAAATTTACTACCGAAATCTAACAAAAAAGCAAGAAATTCATGAAGAGCAAATATAAAGGACTGCTCAGGCTTTAGAAAACCAGCATACTTAACACAACAGTTCTTCATGGGTTAGAAAGATAAAATTCGCGCTAATTACACTTTTTATCCAAGTAATTTAGCTTACCAATTCATATAAGTCGATCAATTTCTTTGCCGGTAATTTCAACGGTTGTATGATTTTAAGCACGGTGTCCCAATGGCCGTTAGTGATTTCATGAGAAAACGAATCGATACTGTCCACAGTATTCAATGTTATATTAGTTTCCTCCTGAACATCATAAGGTATAAGAGCCATTAATGTGGTCTTGATAGGAATTGAAGAAAAACTCAGACCTGCAAGACAGCAAGGGTGCGCATAAGGTTGTTCTCCTTCAAGTACTGTTCAATAAGACGGACGACACTACAATTAGTCTACTAAGTATACCCACTACATCAATGAGACAGTTTTGACTGCCCTGCCTATTCCAACTTGGCAAAAGCGCATTAATCTGAGTAGGCGTAACACCTACTAGAAATGAAAAGAACAACATGGTCATGACCGTGTCGGTTCAAAACATCAACCTCACTTACTCTGCAGCTTCGATCTCAATTGAAGTCATGGTTTTAGCAAGTGATGACTGATGATATCTACCGGAGAAACCTCTAAAAAGCTCTGTTAAGAGCCACAATATCGACTATCTGGTTCAAGTAATGTGCGTTATGAAACGCCATAATAGAAACGTGCAGAATATACTCCGAAAAATTTACTCTCCCACCATAGTAGAAACAGACATGCATTAAGTACTGAAATACAATAATGCTTAAATATGAATAGTCTTCATAAAATAAAGACAAGCCCCGACGAACACCTCAAATATAGTAACCATGGACTTCATTTTCCATAAAATAATTACAACTCAAAGCACTGCACGCTAAACAGAAATGTACAAAAGAAGTACTACTGTCAACATGCAATATGCAATAAGATCAAGTGCGCGATAGCCAGATGTAACTAGTGTTGTGGAACCGGATGAAACTGCTGTTGATAGGATAGATGACCTGGTCCTGAAAGTCATCGTGAAGCGACAGTTGTGAACATAATCACAAAAATAGCTATTGAAAGTGACCTCAATTAAAAGAAAAAATGCAAAGTGCTGTAAATACCACTGATGAGCTGCTGATTTTGGGCTTCTGCTGCAGAAGTCGGTGGTGCAGCCAGCTGTGTAATTCCAATCGAACTCAGTGAAGGCATAGGAAAGTTGATCGGAGGTGGTGTGAACGCACTGCTTGTAGATGGGAGTGAACCCGTTGCAAACATCGGTGGCACCACTGACGGAATGGCAGACGGAAGCGCTGCTAATAAAATAAAACATAGGCCAAACGAGAATACTGTTACACTAAACTACTACGCTACTCTGAATAACTGTTACCATTGCAGCTCTAGTATTAATATCTAGTGAAACATTACAAGTTAAAACATCAATTAAAAGATATAAAATAAAACCAACGTACGTGTGAGATTTGGTGGCTGTGGAGGAATGAAATAGCTATTCGAAGAAGGTTGTAGATTTGGAGGAAGCGGCTGCGGAGGGTGAGGCAAACCTAACCCACCAGATGGATTATAACTAGAATAAACTCAATAAACAACGAGATACTAATACAAATAAGAAACTGTTTTAAAAAATGCTAAGTTTTTTTTATTATTTACTGCCTATTAGAACTTTTTCACAGCAGGGTACTACTATATGTGGTACAACCATAATGATGCTGAGATATCTGCAAAACTCCGGACCGCTAGCGTCTACGGTGGGGAACAAACGCGTTACTACCGTTCCCGGGAGCTAACGCGTTCACCGCCACACCATGTGGGTCCTTCGTTTCGCCCTTCTTTCAGCTAGTTTTAAAAAATCCCAATCATATAAAGATAATCAAACTACCACCACAAAAATGATGAATAGTAAATAGTATTCCACGCAAAGGAGATTTAAAATACTTTATAAAGCTGTTGAAGTAAATTAAACCTCGTCATAGGGATGGAATGTCCAGCTGAGCTGTATGGCAATGATGAAGATTCCCTGCTCGACGACGACTGCATAGACTGATATTGGGAAGGCGTGCTTGCTTGTGGCTGATAGGTCTTGAATATAACACGCTAAGAAAAAAAAAACCGCATGTAGACTATAAATTTAGACCCTTCGAAAGTCATATACCTTTAGAGAAAAGAACTACAGAAAAGTATGAGAAAAACGACATTATGTGCTAGTTCTCGGTGCATATCTAACGTTTTTATGGCATAAAAAACCAATAAACACATAAATAACCTGTAGTTGTGCATGGTAATCGGGAGATGACAGCTGTGAAACAGGAGGTACTTGGTACTGCAATTAGTTTCGCTCTTTAACACTTTCGGAGCAAGCAGGAGCATATGAACACAAACAAAACATTGGGGAAAAAACTACTATGATAAACTATGTCGAAAATACTGCTCTCACATTTTGCTGCGGTTGCATCGCTGTAGAAGTGTTCAGCGAGTTGCTATAGCTTTGTCTATCACGATCGTTTGGATACCCCTCCATGCCCTGAGGCATTACCCGTGGCGTCCCAAGAGGTGTGGACGTGGATTGTGACACAAACGATGTAGGAGGAGAGAACGTCGTTGGAAGATTCAAGTTGACTGGAGGAGCAAAGTGGCTTGGATCGGGGAAAGATGATGGCTTTGGCGCTTTCGTTACCTGATTATGAAAAATATTTACAAACAGAAATTGGATATATATATATACACATATATAATGGTAGAAAAATTTACTTCTTCAATAACAAAGACAGTGGCTATCGGGAGCAGAGCTCCCAAATTCATAAAGTCTTGGCAGCGGCAGTATAGGAGCACCCTCAATTCTTCGCTGCGTCAGCTAAGCAATGAAATCATGGTATATCTTCCAGAGTAGTTCGCCAACCGTCTCAGTGCAAGCAAACGATATACACGATTCATTGTAAAGGATGTCAACGTCGACCAAACGCTTAGGGATGCGACATGTATTCGTCACCAATAGAAATAGTGCTGATGATTCACAGCATATACAGCCTACATAATGAGTTATGGTGGCCTACTTATAAATCAAATCAGGGCTACTATTCTTCCAAACAGGTCTCTTACCTGTCTGTCGACCGCGGAGGGATGGAAGGCTGATGACGCGGGCGCGGAATTGGAGCGACGACCACATTTGTATCACATGGCACCTCTAACCGTTGCACTATACGCGCCCCAGATTAGACACGCAGAAATACAAAGCATATTCATAGAAGTCCTCCCAACGGTTGACCGACTCATCGTGGCTGCGAGGTGTTCCTGGGTGTCGGACCGCGATGTACAGCGGGAGGATTCGTCTCCCCGGCAGGGTCTCCCAAGCTGAAAAGGAGTCGGGCGTTTCCATCAGGAAGTCTAGCTAAGAGCAAACCAATACCAGGATCCGCCACCGTCCCGGTATCAAAGTTGCATGGTGGCAAATCTCCCTCTGATCCACAAAGGTTGCGACTGTCCGTGGTGGTGAAGACCTGGGGCAAACTTTGACCGGGTTGACCTCGGGATTCCAGGGAACTACAACGGCTTAGCCAACAAATCTTCGATAAATAGTGATTATTCTAGGGCCCGTACAACCAGTGAGGACGGGCCGTTCAAGTGTCAAGTATCAAGTTCATAGAAGTGGAGGTACGGCACAACAGATTGGTCGAAAACTACTTCTTTATGGACGTTCCTTGATGATCGAGACTATGCGATTATTGGACTTCCACTACGGCTCATAGAAACCTACACTATACAGACAATTCAATTTATGAAATATGACAGGACAAGATATGGTCGGACGCCAATGCATCCCGCATAAGAAGCACAAGTATTGGATAAATTCATTCGGATCGTGCAAAAAGGCGGTAGAACTAGAGGTTTGGCTGATACGATGGTGTGAAGTAGAATGAAGGAATAAATCTGTGCACCGATAAATGCTGTACTAATGTATCGTTGGCTAAAAGTTTGCTCTGGACAGAGACCCTTTTGGTTGACATCTGCGTAGAGAATAGAATAGGATCTCCAAAAGCATGTCATTGAGTAGATATGGAAGAGAGGACAATTGAAAATACAGCAGATTGGTGGAGTGTAATGTTACCCTGTTGGACAAGGGCACTATTGCAAGGCTCGCAGTGGCTGACGTTACCCCACAGCCACTTAGACGTGTTTTAGGAGCTCAGGTATGATCGATCTAAGACATAATTGTGAAGAACATCGCGGTAACTTAGTCGAAGATTCAAGTGTACTTCGGTTATTTTTAAACAGTATTTGCCTTTGACTAATCATGTGCTGGAAGATACTGACCGAGTTCCAAAAATGGACATGTTGGATAACTGTTATGAGGGATTTCAAAAAAATGACAAACCCAGATATACTATAAAACTTCAGGTTTGCAACAGACACATCCAATACTCTTGAAAGTTGACACTTGAGTGGCCTATCGTCACTGGTTGTGCGGGCCCTAACATAATATCCACTCTCCGGAGATTTGCTGGTTTAGCCATTGTGGGTGTTTGGAGTCCTGAGGTCAACCTGGCCAAAGTCTACCCCTGGTCGTCACCACCATATACAGTCGTAGCCATTGTAGATCGGAGGAAGATCTGCCACCATTCGATTAGTTTGGTATGGAGATGATGGTGGATCCTGGTATTGGTTTTTTTTACCAGGATACATCCAATATAGTAAACATTTTTGCTTAGACTGCTTCAACGACCTCCACGAGAAGTAAAAATTTGTACAAAGAGGTATGAGATGTAGAAACCGATCATGTCTATTTTCATTTCTAAAGATATTTTATGAAAACATGTCGATAAAGCATTCTTTCTCCATTAGAAAAACAAGATGCCATTCATAAGAACGTTATTCTGCGCTGTGAGTATAACGCTCTGAATAGCTCCAATACAATGTGAATAAGACCCAATAGTTTTCACTTCTAGGTAAAATTAAGAATAAACCTGATCTACTTGTGGAATGCCAGTGTTCCCCGGCTGAGCCACTTTTGGTGGTTGAGTTGGCTGAGTAGCAATGACCTAAATAGCAGCTATTTAAGAAGGTGCATTAAAAACAATTCCACTGGGAGATACCACTAGCTATGGGTTTAAAATATGATGCAACAGCATCCGTATAATATAAACTTATAATTTGACTATGCACAGCACTACTTCAAGCGGCGCGTGAAGTAGTCGGAAGCACCCTGCAACACATACGGGATTTGTGCCTTGGCCCACTAAGCCTTCCATCCCTCTTGTGTGTTCGCAAATTGGTATCAGACTTGTCTGGGAGGATAGCAGCACTGGCTCGATACATCGGTAAGTCACCGTGAGCCATTGCACACTTGGGATCTACCCCCGATCTCGTGGCTCACCAAGTCTTCCATCCCTCTGGGGTCGGTAAATTGATAAAAGACTTACCCGGAAGGATTATAAGATTAGCTCGATAGGCAACAGCGAGTCAATGTAAAAGCCAGATATGATTCAATCACCTCCAGCGATGCTCAATGAAATGAAATGCATAGCGCATCCCTCAGGGATTGAACAACACCGAGAGCTTTATCCTTCTATTCTTTATAGCATTAGTTCGTATTTTCACTGGTTTAAGAAAAGTTTTGTGCCAGAAAGTGTCTCCGTGGAATTGATGGGTTAATAACAACGAGCAACCAATAGCTCCTACTCCGTCGGTAAATTAATAATCATTTAAGATGACACATTAACGAAATCCTTACCGAAGGCACTGTGTTCTTCGATCGATCCACTGATATGGGAATTCGATGAAGGTAACCATAGCCAATATCACACCCCAAGCAACCTTCCCCACCCCAAGCCGAGTTTGGTGTTAAACTAACCTAAACATGTCGTAAGCAATACATTTGAAACTCTCCAGTGTTTACGGAAACATTCATATGTCAAAGGCCACACAGTAGTATTTTACAAGCACACACATTTAAAAAAAAAATGAAAGAATAAAAGAAGAACAACATACTTCTCTCACAACATCAGTATCAACGTTATACACATAGAGCTTCAACGGTTTTCCTTCATTCGCCTTTAATGAAATTGAAAACGGTAGATACGATTGTTTGGAAGCGAAATACACCCGCATACCTGGACTAGAGCGATAAGATCATCTGCTTGGTTCAACACACTTTCAGCTCCAAGAATGTAGTCAGAGTCAGAGAGTAGGCCAGCAATAGAAGCTGGCGAGTTCGGCTAAAAGACTTAGACTCACATTAGGCCCTTTAATAAGAATATTAAGAATTTCCACCTACGATTTTCATTTTTACTCCAAAAAGCGAAAAAACTATCTTAAGATGAAGTTTCTACTTTTCTATGCTTTGTTTCTTTTTCGCATCCACCGTTCTTGCCCCATTAAAGCTACAGCAATGCAGATGAAAAAAAAAGTCAATCGACTTATGTACGAATTCAAATTTGAACACGGACCACTTAAAGATGTCCTCATGAAAAAGTTCGAGAGATTGTGGAGGAACAAGGAGTAGGAAAGGTAGCAACAGTTTTGCAACTCCCCAATTTCACTGAGAAGTTTGAAAAATTCGAAAATTAGGCAACGAGTGAGTCTAATGAGATCAGGGATATTAAATTTACGCTATTTATTTCAATCGACAAAAATGACTCCTTTTCATTTGAATGCGAGATAGTCCAAAAAACTGGTTTTGTAGACAACTGAAGGCGTTCTCCCGAGGACGGACAAATAAAAATCACTGCGCCGCTGCAGCCTAATTTGCGTCAAAAATGCTGTGCATACTTTTCCGAACTAATCAGATGAAACCATCCAATGCAACACAATGAATTTTTGATGCTTCATTATAGCTTCAAAGACTCAATTTCATGAAATCCAGAAAGTGCACCAAGAACTGCAACGGTCTGCATTTGTTATTCATGCTTCACGAGCTGAACTCCAAGCGTTGCAAGTACGCGTAGCGCAGTGGTCGGAGGCACCCTTCAATACACATGGGACCGATCCCGCACCTAAGACTGACCAAGCCTTCAACTCTTCCGGAGTAGCAAAATTGACACCAGACTTATCGAAAAGGATTACAACACTGGCTCGAGATATCGGCAGACCACCGCGAGTTATTGCAAAGGCCAGATATGCATTCAATCACCTCCAACGATGATTAGTGAAATCGAATGCACGGCGCATCCCTCAGGGATTGATCAACATCAAGAACTTTATTTTTCTATCCTTTATCACCAAGTAAACACTGCTTCAAGCAAAACTATGTGGTGTTCATCGGATAAATACGCAGGTCGGACAATAAATATAACAAGCACCGAAAAGCTCTTTGATGAATGTAGGCTCCATAGATAGAAACTTTGCTAAGATATCGAAGCATGTCACACGTTTGCAAAGACATCCGTTGTAGCGGTTCGAATTTTAATGGAGTTCTTAAAAGTCAAGGCATACAAACTTTCTGGAACAAAGTCGGATACTCAAAACTGCAAAACCCAATAAATGTAAAATCGCTTAGCAAAAAAAAAGGAAAAAAACTGCCAATATAAAACACTAAACTGGAGACATTTCCTTGCCCTATGGCAAGCAAAACACCACGGATATCCCTTATATGAGAGATCTCGAGCCGGTTAGTCACGAGTCTACATGGCGCGTCCCCAGGTGGCGGATAGGGGGTTAATCGCGGACCAAAAGCGAATTTGCTTCCCTGAGACGCACGTGGATCCAGGGGATGGACTCCCTGTTTCTGCTGCGCTGATTTGGCACATACTCTCTGTATTTGCTAGGCGTATTCATGCATGCGTGTGTGGGTGCGTTCTTGCTTGTGCGGATTGTATTCTACGAGTCAATTCGGCCAAAAGCCTGCAATCAACTAACTAGGAAGTACTACGGTCAACGGGACTACAGGTGATACAGGTGATGGTAAGCAAATGATAATTGAAAAATATTCTAGTTAAAAGAGACTGCGTGCGTCTATGGCTTTATTAGGAGCCATCATTTAGGACGTTCGTTTCTACGCCAATGCTGTAAATGTGTGATAGGCCGACCTTCAGAAAGAGGTATAGATAGATTGCTGTGTTCAAAGCCCCAAAAAACAGAACAACTTTCTCCCCTACCATTCTAGAAAAGACGAACTTAAGGTATGGTTTGCTTATATAGGTGTTTGGTTGGGTAGATTGCGGTCATCTTGACCGCTCTAAGCTCTGAGGAAGGCGAAATCCGCCGAAAAGTCAGCTTGTGTGTAAATAAAGAAATAATACCTCGTGTTTGCTAAAGAAGAATACGAAGAAACGAAATTAAGTTGTCAAATTCCTAACCTGAACTGAAATAACGTGCCAAACATGCTGACTAGCACCATCAAACGAACAGAAGCGAATAGAAACACCAAGCAGGCCTTGACCACCCCACATCTCCGATGGTATAACTGTTGTTTGTCTCACTGTTTGAGTCTTGCTAGAAAACATGTGCAGTAAAAAATGCCTCTAACAAATACTGATATATCCGTATATTTCAAAAAGTTAAACCCACCTATTATAAACGGTAATTTCAATCGGCTTTTCGATATGTTGTTTAAGGATGTCCTTCATAGTGTCGTTGTCCTTGTCCTGAGACAAATATATTTGAACAATAGAACCGTTGAGGGCCAATATGTAAGGATTCATGCTTATTACCAGTCTTATATTGCCAATAGAAACGATAAAATCGAAGAACGGCTCCAAACCAGCTGCTTGCCCAGGTGAGTTGTCTTGAACCTAAGCGGATTCCACTCACAACGATTTATACTGAGGCTTTAGCGAAGTTACTGGCCACTTTACTACCGTCCTACCTACAGCACATGTACATGTTTCAGCCAAGGATTTTCACGATTCAGGAAGCCTTCTCAACCAAGAATAGAAGAATTGCTACTTAGACCATTTGATACATTTTCAGTGGAACTTGTGTACAGTGATGACTACCAAACACAACACTTTAATCGTTATTTAGGAAATATCACCATGTCATCAAACTTTACGAGTATAGTTTCAAAGGAGAACACAAGTGGGGCGTAAGAGAAATAAGTCAACAAAATTTACCAGGCCACCTCGTAACATTCGAGTTAGAAGCCTGTACCATGTACACCAACCAAGAACTAAGGCAAACCATGTATTGAAAAAAGATTTAGTGCTAGAGTATCCTCAAGTTGGCAATTAAATGAGGTTTTACATGAGGCTTCGAGCTCAACCTTTGGGTTAAGAGTAATAAAAGGGTAAGCTACAGCATCGGAGCACAACAACCGTTTCTTTTCCAAAATGCATCTCTTTAGTTTACAAACAGTAATGGTTGTAGTAACAAAAAACCTGCTCTCTTAGCGTTCCCACCGTTCACGGGTTACGTAACTTCACGACTGGACTTCTGTGCAGTTCTCTTTTGAATTTAACAGTGACAATTCTACCACCGCATATTAAAGACCGAAAGAAGAAAAAAAACTGGCGAAGAAACAAGTAGTTCGGGTCGACACATTGCACAATGTATTGAACACAATCTGAGTACTTTAACAAGACAGTACGGTTTACACGAGCCTTTCAGACCATTCATCCTTGCAAATACTTGCATTCACTTAGAGGCATTCACAGACAATAAGAAGATTACTCACCCTCAAGACATGATATCCCTCAGTTCCACCTCCTGGAATAGGTATGCTTTCACTATTACCCATTTAGTCCGAAAACCTGCAAACATCAGCTCGACACACTCTTTCTCTAACTAGAAGAAGATCAAGAAATCGGTTTCCAATAAAGCAGTAATGAAACACATGGCCATCCTATCTAGACGAACCTGCCAAACCTAAACGAGAGCTGGTTGGCTCTGACGCGCTACGTGGAGGGTCGAGCCGAAATGACCCGCCCCCTTCTACGCAGCCAAAACGCTTCCCCGACTGATACTTAACCGGGTAGTTATAACTCTATAGGGTTTTCCTTAGTCCTACGAATTCGGATCGAGTTTTTTTGATGTTTCTTTTTTGAATTTTACTAATTGTGACCGGTTTTTGTATAGTCCTATAAGTTTAGCTCGGATTCCATCGCTATTTTTTTCGAATTTTATAAAGTCTACCCATTTTTGTGCTAGTCCTATGAATCGGAATCGGACGGGATAGGATTCTATCGCTTTTTTCTTTATAACTCGAAAGACCGACTTTCTATGAACTTCGGCATAGATAGTTGATATATTTATTTATGTGATCTTATAAACTGATCTTCTTAAGCTGACGCGAGGTTGGTATGGGTCTTCGTTGTCGTTGTCGTTGTTTTTGATGTTATTGAACGATGGCTGACGTTTGTTACGTGCGGGACTATCACGGCTCTGAGGAAGGCGAAGTCGCCGAAACAGCCATCGTTCAGTAACATCAAAAACAACGACAACGACAACGACAACGAAGATCTGTACCAACCTCGCGTCAGCTTAAGAAGATCAGTTTATAAGACCACATAAATAAATATATCAGCTTTTTTCTTTACTTATTTTTTTTCTACATTTATATCTTTTGCACATTGGGGCGTTTTTAACACGAAGTAGCTTCCTTTTCGTTTATCGCTTAACCAGGAGCTGAACTTGATCAGGTTTCGTTCTGTTTTTTTCGTTCTTTGCACTTCTATTTAGGGGTTGTCCTATATTACAACGAATTGCTTTAATTCTTCTCCCCTTAAGGTCTTAAGCATCGGGTAAAGCCCAGGCTATTTTTCTCTTGGGCACCTTAAATATTTCATTAAACGAGATTTCATTAAGGGTTGCGCTTTTGGCTGTTATTGTTCAACTGAGCAATTCTCTGCGGTTACCATTAGGTTTATCTGTTTCAGTTCTGTTCTTCTCTATTGTCCTGGTGTATAGAGACTTCAGTTTCTAAATGTTTTGCGTTGTTCCGCCTCTTAGTTTGTTCGCCATCCCTAGATGTCTTTTCAGTGTTCTAATGGCAAAACGCACCAAGAAAGTGGGTATCGTCGGGAAGTACGGAACCCGATATGGAGCTTCGTTGCGTAAGATGGTGAAGAAAATGGAGGTGACGCAGCATTCGCGCTATACTTGTGTGTTCTGCGGAAAGGAAGCCATGAAACGGAAGGCGGTGGGCATCTGGAGTTGCTCGAAGTGTCACAAAACCGTTGCTGGCGGAGCGTAAGTTCTCAGAGAATCACGTTCAGCCCTATTGTATTCTTTAGGCTTCGAATTTGACATATCGAAAGAATCATATCTGCAAGTTTTAGTTACGTATATGGAACTGTCACTGCCGCTACTGTGCGATCGACCATCCGTCGTCTTCGCGACATGAAAGAGTAGATACATGCCTGATTCTTCTGATGATAGTTGTTGTTATCATTGTTGTGAATGAATAAACGTCACTTCAAATACCCGTTTGTTTCGAGGATGTTATCTCATTTCGTACTACTCAGTGTTGTTTTGAAGTCCTGCAACGATACTTTTTTAATAAGTTCTGCAAAAACCCAACAAGTTTAAGCTCGCGGTGTGGTAGAACATCGTCACTTTGTAGATACATAATGTACAAAACACTGTTTCATCGACAGCAATCTGGACGAATTGTAGTTCGGAAAACCAAAGTGTTCCACTTTTTGTTTTGGTTCGTCTTGCAATGGATTTCCGAGTGCTTGAATGATAGGCTAGTTACCTGGATACTTGGATACTTCGATGGCCCTTCCTGTGCGGGCCCCAGCATAATTTCCATTTCTTCGGAGTTTTGCTGGCTTAGCCATTGTGTTTCCTTGGGGTCCCGAAGTAAGCCTGGCCAAAGTTTGTCCCAGTTCGTCACCACCACAGGCAATCGTAGTCGCGGATCAGAGGGAGGTTTGCCACCGCAACTAGTTACCTACCAGGACGGTGGTCGATCCTGGTATTGCTTTACTCTTAGCTGGTCTTGCTGGTAGAAACGCAAAACTTTCTCAGCTTGGGAAGCTATGTTATGAGGATGAGTCCCCCCGCTGTGCATCACGGGTTTGCACCCAGGAACACCTCGCAGCCATGGTGATGCGGTAAACCATTGGGAGGGATAGGCTACATATCTATTGGAATATTAGAGTACTGTTGGGAATCATACGTGATCGATACAAGATAGAAAAGGTCTTGAATATTTCAGAGCTTGCCCTTAGATCATATATCGCTAGGATCATATCCCTAAGTGGTTGAGATGGATTTGGTAAAAGCGTATGTCCACAGCGATGAACAATTGTCGAGTGATGACGATGATGCCGCTAATCCTCTAGAAAACTGCAAATCGCTTGCACTCCCTCCTACTCTAACTGTAAGTGGACTTGTTTTTATTGATTCCCATACTTGTCTTCACATTCTTCTCTTTCGTTGAGCTTTTGCCAGCGTTGCTATATTGTACGCAGGTAGCCCCGGACGTTGCGACGAAAAGCATTCTGAAGCAGATAGCTATAGTTGATCCGAGGACAAAAGAGTTGAAGACCAATGCTACGTATGAGCAGTTATTTCAATCAGAGGTTGGTTGTTGCATCTGGCAGAAGGCCTGATCTGAGCTTTTCTCGATCGCTTCTCAATATATTTTCTTGAAAGTCAATTTTCCGTGCTTATTTGTACTGTTAACTTTTTATTTACTGCCTATTACAATTTTTCACGGCCGACTACTATGTGAAATATAACCACAACGAAGCAAAGATATTTGCAAAGCTGAGGACTGCAGGTGTCTGAGTTGGGGAACAAACGCGCTGCTACCCTTTCCAGTGGCTAACGTGTTCACCACCACACCATGCAGATCCTTCGTTTCGTCTTTGTCTCAGCTAGTTTTCTATCTACTTAATTGTACTATTTTTAGGTTGGTCCTACTAATCCTTTTAAAAGCGACAATCAGAAAGCTCAGAAGAATGTCCTTACAGGGTGAGACATTTATTGTTCACTAAAGAAAATGAGCCTTTTCTGTACCGTTGATTTTTACACTTTCTGTTTCAGTTTTGTTGAACCCGCTCATATCAATGATTTTCATTTTACTCGAGAGCTTCGAAGTTTCGATACCCTTGGATATGCACGGAATCCTACTGCTGATAAAAGTCGGTTTAACGTTTTTACTTTGAAAGCTTTTTCATTTCTGTCGTAATCTATGGTTATTGGCACATTCTGAGGGATATGATTTCGTGTTCTAGTGGTCGGAAATAACTTGGTATTTCAGCTTTAGATAAACCTCAACTTATAGTGAACTTTATCAAGTGTAGTAGTGTATCAAGTAAGTACCTCAAAAGACCGACCTTCTATAAGCCTCGCCATAAATAGTTGATATGTTTGTATGTTCTTACGAACTGATCTTTTTGAGCTGATACGAGGTTGGTATAAGTTTTCGTTGTTGTTATCGTTGGTCAATGACTGACGTCCCGGCGATTTCGCTTTCTTCAGAGCCTGGCCATATTTTATGCAATGATAGTCTTATGACTTAAATTTGGTGCTTTAAGCAACGGCTGAGAAATTACGTTGTTTGGTCTATGTAATCAATACAAATACAATTTGCAGATGCTTACAAATACAATAGGATGCAAATTTTGTTATCTTACCAAGTTGAATTTTCGGGCGCTCAGAAATTTTTGTTGTTTTTGTCGAGTCTCGTATCTCTCAAAGCTATAGGATAGATGAGATTTCATCTATCATAGTACGGTGGTGTCCCCGGACGTTTTTGGTAGGTATGCGTTCAGATTTCGAATCTTACGGTCTCTAAGGTTTCCAAAATAATAGCGGTAATCTAGTATTTCGGGAAAACCATGTATACCTTATAGTGATGGCGCGTGTTTTGTTTTTCAAGCGGTCAACTCTTGAAAGTACTCTAATTGTGCGAGAAGACGACATTTATCGAAAATGGGTGTCTTAGGGAATGGTTTTATGCGTTGCATTCCATTCTTTCTTCATTTTCAAGGTCATGAGTTTATTGGAGACAAGGAGGCAGCTGTTAAAAGTCAAGGTGAATCATTGTTTGATTCAAAGAAAACCGGAGGTGAGAAACGGAAACGATTAGCTAACTTTGATGCTTCAGATATCGAAGGATATACAGGTATTGTGTTTTCGAAGTACTTCCTTGTGCAAAAAGGCTGTGTAAGCGCGAGATTTGCCCACCAGTTTCAGGGCCATGGGCTAGATATAGCGATGAGAAAACCATTGCAAAGCCGGATCCAGAACTGCAGAAAGAAATGGATGAAATCACCAGAAAGGTTTGTGCCAGTGATATTGTAGCTTTCTTGACGAAAATATTTGTCAATATTTAGCGGCAGGCCAACAGTCGACGATTCAAAAGAAAACAGCAACAGCAGAATGAAAACGCTGAGGAAACTTCTGTTTTGCACCGTATGCTTCCATGTTTTGTTATGCTTATCTAAGCGGGAAGTGGCGCGAAATTTTTCTCACTTTCAGTGAAGGAAGCTCAAGATTATCAGGGTCGTTCTTTCCTCGTACCACCGGCTTTCACTGGTGTGAATTTACGGGCGGATGCAGCTCCAGAGAAGTAAACATTCTTTCTTCTCGTTACCTTTATACTCTGTATTTTCACATTTTGGTTTAGATGTTTCATTCCGAAGAAACAAATCCATGTATACAAAGGGCACACCAAAGGTGTTAACTGCATCCAATGGTTCCCGAAAAGTGCGCATCTTTTCCTTTCCTGTTCTATGGATACTAAAGTACGTCATTCTTGTGGACATTTTATTTAGTACTGTGCCGATTTTCCGGAGTATAAGTGCTGTTCTAGGTTAAACTTTGGGAAGTTTATGGAAAACATCAGGTTGTTCGTACTTATTCTGGTCACAAGCTTCCCGTACGCGAGGTTGCTTTTAACAATGAGGGAACAGAGTTCTTATCTGCTAGTTTTGACAGATATATCAAATTGTGGGATACCGAAACAGGACAAGTTTGTTTTAACCCTATGACCTCTATTATAAAATATCTGCTTTTGCCTGAAATTTCTTGTAACTAAAAGACGACGTCGATAATTACAACACATAGTTTACTTCACACGTGACGCATTTAATGCATTATCTTGTTTTGTGTACTTCTATTCATCTGAGCTGTAGTTCTTCAAGATAGTTTGAAGCCGTGGATGAAATCGCTCTGATTCCTTTTTCAGGTTAAACAGCGGTTTCACACGGGCCATATTCCGTTCTGTGTGAAGTTCCATCCGGATGATGATAAAAACCACATGTTTCTTGCTGGTATGCAGAACAAGAAAATTGTCCAATGGGATTCGCGTAGTGGTGAGATTGTTCAGGTTTGTTTTAGTTTTTCTCAGGTAGATTGGTTTTCTTGGTAAAAGTATACGGTTTCTTTTTTTAAATTTTCTCTTCTTTTCTCTTCGTTGAAACCATAGTATTCCTTTTTCCACTTGGTTTTAGTTATGTTCTGGTTAGCATAACATGTTTGTTAAGTAGCCTAATTTTTTTTAAACGGTCCATGGTCCTTATATATGGCTAGTCTAAACTATTTTCTTGTTATCTTTCTCAAAGAACGTATATTGCTTATAGGAGTACGACCGACACTTAGGGCCAGTAAACTCTATTATATTCTTCGATAAGAATCGAAGATTTGCCTCAACATCGGATGATAAGTCTATTCGAATATGGGAATGGGAGATTCCTGTCGATACAAAACTAATACAAAATGTCGGTCTACACTCTATTCCGACAATGAACAAAAGTCCTAACGGTATAGCTTCTTACTTTGTAGTTTTTTTTTTTCAGTTAGCTGGTTTATAGCTATTGTATTGATTATAAATGTTTCTCAGAAAAGTGGGTGGTCGGTCAGTCGATGGACAATCGCATTGTGTTATTCCAACTGATAGACGAGAAACTTCGATTCGCAAAGAAAAAAGCATTCAGAGGACATAACTCCGCAGGATATGCTTGCGTGACGGACTTCAGTCCGGATATGAGGTTTTTAAAAGTTCTAGAGCATTTGGGCAGCCTTTTGTCCTAGTTTTGAAACCGTCCTTTCCTTTTCTATCTCATTGCAATTTTGAAATTTTCTTTTAGTTATTTAATCAGTGGAGATGCTGACGGGAAGCTATTCATTTGGGACTGGAGAACGCATAAAATAGTGGCCCGATGGAAGGCACACGACAACACCTGTATCTCGGCTCGATGGCATCCGAAAGAGAAGAGCAAAATCCTAACTGCTGGATGGGATAGTGTTATTAAGATGTGGACGTAGACTTTCACGCTCTGTTGGATTGGAGCGAATGACTGGTTCTACTGTTTACATATTGTATTTATACGTGATGCTTTATACTTGATTGGCCCGCCCTCACTGGTTCTGCGGGCCCCAGCATAATCTCCATTTCTCGGAATTTGCTGGTTAAGTCATTATGGTTTCCTGGAGTCCCGAGGTCAGCCTGGCCAAAACCTGCCCCAGGTCTTCACCACCACAGGCAGTTGCAGCCATTGTGGATCAGAGGGAGATTTGCCACCATGCGACTTTGATACGAGGACGGTGGTGGATCCTGGTATTGTATTGTGTTGTATTTATACTTATCGTTTATTAAATATGCAGTTTACCTCCCAGCATTTTGTGCTTATTTGTCAGCTGTGACACCCACCCTTTTGTTATTTTAAATAACCTCCATATTTGATTTCAAATCATATGCGTACTGATTTCAGATTGGAACCTCTGTCATTCTTTAGCACGCGTACAAGGTGTGTTAGCATCTTGCTGTTACTGTTGTTTCGTCCGCATCTTGTAGTTGCGCCCATGCAGAAAAAATCATTTCGTATTCTGTTGTTCTCGAGTTATATCATGGTGGCATGCCATAGTGTATATTTCAACAGTATTAACAATGGAAAGACTTGTATTCCCTTATGATCTCGTTAAATGATGGTTTCAGCTGTCGTTATTGGACTCCGATGGTCGCTTTTCCATTCGTTCCGAAGTTTCACCATCTTTGCACGATTCCGACTTTCAATATTTTTGGACTTCGATATCGTTCTACTCTGAGGGGACGTTTTCAACACTGGAAGAAACCGTGAGCAGTCTTATTTTGTGTGTCATCATGCCTCTACTAATGGAGCAAAAATTTGTGTGAATGATTTTCATTTAGGGTATATTCAGCGCCTCATGTTAATCCTCTCGAAGTGGGACCTGATTTTTCAATTGTAGGTTCGTTAACTATTTTATGCATTGGTTTATTCACATGGTTCCAAACTGGTTGTTATTTGAACGGGAAACACTGGGAGGCTGCACAGCACCTTCGTGTAGAAGTTGTTTCATTGGTTATTAGTGTTGTGGTGAAGCACTTCTCCGGTATCGTACCTGAATATTCATTTCTGGAATTATGATGTAATGAGTATTTTGCAGTCATTTTAAGCAGCCTTCTCAGTTAAGCTGCTTTTTGCGCGTTTTCTTTGCTTGAATTTTATCTGGACTTTTTTAGGTGGACGGTCCGTTCATGTTACGTCTAAAGTCCAGTTGAAGCATAAGCTGGATCAACTTCGATTAGCGGTAAGACTCAATTGGTTGTCAGATGAAATTGCCTTATGCAAATCTTTTTAGAAAAAAATCGTTCACTTACTTAGTGACGTCAAGGAAATGGAAGTCTTGCATAAGAATGCGCAGAGGCAGCGATTAGTGAATGAAGAGCACATTGAATCAATTCGGCCAAAATCCAAAGGAATGAAATCTATAGTCTGACTGTGGTCTGTATGGAGTATTTTCGCAAAACGATAAAAATCACGAGGGCAGCTGGGTGAGGACATGGGATACATTCATTGATTGTCAGACGTGATAAATTCATTCTTATCAGTTTTGAGGCTATGAAGAGTGACTCTAAACTTCCAGCTAAACTGCTTTGTGTGTATATTTGGTTGATGCGAAACTTCATCCCGTTTTCTTTACTAGAATTCAGCGAAGAAGTGTCCTTTAAGAAAACCATTCGCTACTGGGTGAACAAGCCATATATATTTATTCTTCCATCATGTTCAACAAGAACATGTTCTATTTCAAAGCTAACGAATGATGTAGTCACGTTAAGTTCGTTAAGTTGTAAATAGTGTGTGCCCGAATCAATTAAGCTTGGTTTATTGTCAGTTGTTTATAATAATTCCTGATCCCACAAATGCCTTACACAACTTTTTCTAGTGTAAACTGACTTTTGCTTCAATTAAGATTGTTTCTCGGTTTCATCGTGCTTAGACGACGACTTCGTTCTGTTAATATGTCTATGCACGACACATTTCTCATCGCTGATGATCACCGCTTTCAAAGGTGGAACTGCTACAACTGAGAAAAGAATTGCAAGCAGAAATTCCTTCTATCAAGATTTTCTCGGATAACTTATCCTGCATCCATAGAACAGCCCTGCTAGTTGTGCAACAGTGCAGCGCGAAGTATCCAAGTGGCAAAAAGNCCTGAAGCCACATTTTTTCAAGGTTCCATTTTTAAACGATCTTTTGTGTTTGCGGGAACGAATTTAGCTGAACGATTGAACCCATGACACTATGCAACACAGTGAGCACGAACGGTTTTAATTATACTACCAGAATTCTTCATAATTAACATCTCTGCCAAAAGGAAGAAGAAATTATTCTCCAACCAAATAAGCACTGTCTTCGGACGATATCCTGGAATGAAGTGCTGCAGTAGTTAGAAATCCTAGTTCTACGGAGTCAATTTCTATATCTACCCATAACGCCCTGCTGGCATATTTCATGGCTGGTCTAATCGAATGCAAGCAGTTTTTCGTCGGTTGGCGACTTTCTGGCTTTTTGACAATAAAAAGTAATTTTGTGATAGCTAGGACGTTTTAGAGGTTGTGAACATGAGAAGATTACAGAGGTGACTGCTCTACCATCCTATGGGTGTAGATGATATGTACAGTACTATTTACTGTGTGTTACTCTGGTCCATTATACAAGTACATTACTGCCAGCACATGGAAGTATTTTCCACCCCACATTGAGTCCATTTCTGTGCTTTTTATATCCTCATGTTTTATACGATGACCGTCATTCAATCACCTCCAAACGATGCTTAATGAAGTCGAATGCATGGCGCATCCCTCAGAGATTGATCGACGCCGAGAGCGTTCTTTTATTACCGACCAATGAACTTTTTCAATAAGAGGTCTTTTATGAATTACTAAGTGTAGGGAATGGTTCTTCTAGCTTCACTCCTCTTATGTCGATCAACTTTCGATTAGCTATCGAATGGTAGTGCAGAAAAAACATTGGAATCTACTAAATTGAATATGGACAATATAGTGTCCATACGGGGCGTTATGGGTTAAATCAAAAAGGTAACGAAAAGAGTACTGTCGACATCGGAATGAATCACTGAATAGATGTCAACATATTGGGCACTGATGAAAGGTTATGCAGAGGTTGAAGACTCACAATCGTTGACTTATCCAGGGCATTGAATCCGCGGTTCTAAAGTAAGCATATGGATTGGTATAGGTTTTCATGTAGGTTGTTTTTCAACTCCCTTAAAATTCTTTGCGACATTTTAGGCAGAGGACCCCGTTCATGGCGTTATTCAATTTCATACATATAGGCAGTGCTTACTGAAGCGAGACATGCTTTATAAAGTATCGGGGTCCCCTTCGGTATTAAACGCTGACGTCGGTGTCCCTGGCGGAATGTAAGCATCNTGATGTGGTTGGTAAACGCTTGGTGAACACTGGCGTCACTATTTAATTAATTCGAATTTTGTTTTAGGTAATCGATAACATTTCAAAGTTTATCGCTTCTCACTGAAGAACGGTATTTAAAAATCCTCTTTATCTGAAGAATCTGTAAGTTTCATGAAGAGTCATGCATGTTCTGAATTCTAATCTGATGAAAACTATCGTTGCCTACCGTTTTTTGATGTCAACAAGGAGGGGGAAGCAAACTGATACCGTATTCTCAAAATCACAATACAATTCACTTGTGGGATTACGGTTAGACTAATTGGGAAGTATCCCGATTTGAATGCGTGGTGAGTTTGATGGTGGTTAAACGAGAACAAATGATCACATAATTGTCTTGAGGCGCGGACGGATTTAGAGGATGCGGTCCCTGTTCCTGGTGCATCGGATTGACTTACATCTTCACTATGTGCTATGTGTGATATATTCATGCTAGCATGGTAGGTATGCTCGCAGATTGTGGACATTGATTTCGTTAAAACATGCAGGCAAACAACAAAAAGTCGTTAGGGATGTGGATCACCTCATCAACATGAGTTCGGTTGATCAACATTTCTTACACTACTGCAAAGATGAGGATCAGCATTATCAAAGGTAATGCCGGTTCACATCATTCTATTCAATGCTGCTGCACTTCAAAATCAGACCACGACGAGCGACACAACTAGTGCCTTCGGTGCCAGAATTGGCCAACTCGTGTATTCCCCATTAGCACAAAATGAACTTGATTTTCCGAGAATAGGCTGCATTTCCAGATAACCAAAGGACTTGAGAGGTTGCTAACGTTACGTATCTATAGTGGGAACTTTTTCGAATAATTTAGGAGCATATAAAGTAGAAGTTGCTGCTCACTATATGTTCTGCTATTTGTCGGAGAATCTACTTGCTAGAATATCAAACAGAATTGAACATGGACAAATCTCCAGTCGAAAGTAACAGTGAAAAGCTGGAAATGTGGGGACGTTATGGGAACTCCTTTGCTCACTATCGAATGTTCTGAAGGAAGTGGATTGAAAATAAGTGAGATGATAGTGATGATAACTATGACCATAAATGAGCTATGAGTGCTCTAAATGTGTAGTCCTTCATGAGCAGTGGATTTTCGATGACAGTCGATCTGGTGTAGATAGAAAATTCTCCCTTCGACGCACAAAATAGACACATTTCTTTGAGTTTTTATACCTAAGGCAAAGGAGTAGCATGTGATGAAGACGAAAAGATACGAACTATAGAAGGATGCGTTCTAGAAAGCGACAAGTGTTAACGAGAATAAGAAAATTTATCCTGTCGATGCCTTAAGAGGAAAATTATTGGACTGCAACAGTCGAGGAATAATGGAGTTTTAGTCCTGCTCTGGCTTACCATCCTACTATATCCAGTATTACGAGAAGTGGATTCGGGAGCTTATTGCTCAACGTTCACTTTGCCGACAACACACCGTGTGACTGACGAGATAGCTTCTAATCGAAACCATGCAGATTGCTTTCGGGATGGACTGGATCCTGGCTTACGCTGCTTTGGAGACGAGAGCCTTCAACACCGCTGAATTCAGTGTTTCTTTCAAGAGAGCGGTATCACTCTACCAAGAATACAGAGATGGTACATTGGATGTTACAAGGTAATAAAAAGTTGTTACGATTTCAAATACACTGCAGAACGTTCCAAGTGATTTTGCACTAGGTATAGCTCCTCTGGGAAATACTCTTGTTTAGGGTATTTCAATACTAATCGTAAAAAGTGTACTGCAAGAATTGAATCTTCACTGTGAAAATGTTTACTTGTAAGGTGGAACTGTCTTGTATTTAAAAAATGTTAATGCTATCAAGTAAATTTGAATTGTGTGTATGATGAAGTGCAAAGTTTAAGCTGTAGAAGAGATATTCTCGAGAACAATATTAGAGGTCATCAAAAGATTTTTTCGTGCGAGTAGGCTGACTGACAGGAAGAGCAAATTCTGAATCTAATACTATGACCACGACTGAATTAAAACTCACAAAATAATGCTTTGGGCCTTGTGTCCCTTGCATTTAATCGCTTGCTACCAACGATGTGATATATCCCTTTCCTTGTACTGTATCATTGTGACTGGGCGATGAGTATTTGTAGGTGTCCAGCTGTAATCTACAGCAGAGGTTTCGTCCTTAGCCCCTCAATAGGATTACGCCTAGGCTAGGAACGACCTCGATATTTCTACCGGGTAGCGACTTAAGAGTGATTGTATATCATGGTAGAATCCAGCTACCTTTGGTTCAATCTCATCAAAAGTGTAGAAGGGTTTATAACATTCAAATGATCTCCGCGTCTTTTGAGTGAACCCAGCCCTCATCGAAATAAGAAAATGTGCTAAGCAATGGTCCAATGTAGATGCAAAACAATATGAAGGGACAATGCTAAATTACTAGATTTAGAAGTTGAAAGTTTGATTTCAACATGCTCACTTCTAGCACCGAGAATCGAAAAGATGAGAACCCCCGCAGAAATGAAGCTACTCACCCAATCGAGCGCACGTTTGTTGAACCCACCAAACCCCTGTCCTGCCTGAAAAATGTGATTTCATCCGCCGTTGAAATCTCCTTTGTAGAATTTTGAAAAAAATTTTTGCGTGTTCGAGAGTAAACAACGGTTATTTTTGTAACAATTACTCTTCGGAAGAATTCCGTACAAGTTCATGGATTTAGCACTGAAGAGGGATTGCATCTGTCCCAATCATTCGTGTATTATTTTGAAAACTAAATAATCTTCGATGCCGTAAAATAATGTTCAATTTTCCATACGTGCATCGACTCCTTTTCAACGGGTTTACGTTAGTATTTTTGAGTGTTACGGCGGTTGTGTTAAGCTTTTAAAGATCTAAGCCAATCGTAAGGCGAACGTAATGGACCCCTAGTGGAAAGGAAATCGGCCTACGTCTTATCAATCGCTACATCTCACGTTAACTTAGATCAGTAGTAAATGATAACGGTAAGTTGTCCAATGCACTATTAGAGGTTTTCTTTGGAATTAT